ATTACTACTATCCATTTCAAAATAGAAGATGTGTCCTCGGAAAACACCTGTATCTCCGGAACCAAAGAAGACGAAGACCTGGGTCCTGCGTAGTTTTGAAGAGAAATGTTTCGGCTATCAAATGGTATTATAGGAGATTGTATTTCATAGTGCTGTTTAGGAACGGTAAGCTTTCGGATTTTGCCTCGAATGGTACACCATGGCAAACCTAATCGAACGCCATGATTTTTTCACAGATCTACGTGCTCCAGTGTCTAGTTTCAGAAACTGAAAACCGCAGGTCTCTAGATCTTTTCGTTCCGGAGTTATAAGCGTTTTGTTCACTCATCTTCTATTTTGAAATGGATAGTAGTAATGATAGTATATTAAATAAAAATCAAGAGCGATCAACTGTAAATGTGTGTGTTGGCTTACTTAGACTGAAGAACCAAAACAGGAACATTAAATAAAACGGAGACTTGGTGATCGGTCTGCTTTTTGCAAGCGGAACTTGGACAGCAGCATCCGCCAACTCTTCAGTCATTGAAGAATCTCAATATTGGAATGCATAACATCAGTTTTGAACGGCAAATTCAACAATTAAATTTGTAACGCACGAAAAGGGGACCTCAAAAAAGCTTAGCATCTTCACTAAGCTTTAGTTTGATAGACTGGCATTTTCTGTGGTATTGCTACGTTGCTCTAGACTTTCTTTTTGTATTGTGTGACAGTTCTTTTTATCATATAGCGCTTTCAGCAGAATATTGTAGATGTTGATTTGAAAATTAAGTCTACTTTGTCGAAGCGTGCCATAGAAAACACAATTATTCTCCCTTTTGGTGATTAGAGCTGTTATTTTGAGAATCAGAAAGAATTCAAGTCTCCCTTTTCCACTGTACGAAATAAAGATGTTACTAGTCCATGGCAGCAGCTGCAAATGATGAAGAACTAATTTGTATCCTATTCCACGTATGATATTTTCTTTATAGTTTCCAGAATGAAATAGAAAATGAAAGAAAATAAATGGAATTACGTGTATGACGGTGATGTCGAACCAACTGCAAAACTAAGTAAGTCGCATATGTGCATATTATATAGCACACACGATGAGGCTGTTGAAATAATACCATCTGGTGAAGAAGATGAAACAAAGGATCGTGCAGAAAATAGTTTAAATAAATTAGAAGTATCATATATTACCGACTTATTGGTTAAATGTCCCAAATTTGTCGAAATGATACGTCAGTCGAGTATATTACATGCTCATCGTGGCAAGTCATCCACAACATCGAGCAGAAACCGCAAACACAGTTGTAAAACAACAATGGCAAATGGTAGAAAAGGAGCTCAGAGACATCTACCACTAAGTTTTAACTCTGTTCGACAAGTTCCTCATTTCGAAGCAGACTAGGGTTTTATTTAATGTTCCTGTTTTGGTTCTTCAGTCTAAGTAAGCCAACACACACATTTACAGTTGATCGCTCTTGATTTTTATTTAATATACTATCATTACTAGTACCAT